TGCTCCTACATACTTAATTTTGGAAGATTCAAGTAATTCTGAGTTTTTATAGCAGCCTCAAACTGAAAAAGCTTCAAAATCAGCCATTTTTTCCCTTAATTACTTATTTATTTAAGAAATCAGACAAGGTCTTGCTATGTTGTACAGGCTGGTCTAAAACTTCTGGCCTCAAGGAGTCCTCCCGCCTCAGCCTCTCACAATGCTGTGCCAAGCCCAAACAAGCCAATTTAATGCCCTTAAACAATCAAAATGTAATGCTAAGGAAAATAATACAAGCCAAAACTAAAGTGCAAAAGCAAAAGCCTTTTTGCTATAGGTTTTAATTGAAAAGATTTGTGAACTAATGGGATCCTTTCCCAAGGGCAGGCTGAAAATGTAAAAAATGAAATGACAGAGGCTTCTCATGTTTCTATCCTTCCTTAGGCAACTTCTTATCCTATTTCAGTTTCTTGAAACATCTCTGGTTATGATTCTTGTGACTAAAAAGACAAAAACATGTGTTTATAGAAGTCCATCAGATTCATCTTTAAAGGTGAAGTCACATACCAGAGACTGGTGGTCTGAGGGAGAACTGAAGGATGGTCGCCGGTTGGGTCCAGTCTGTTCTCTGATGAGCAGATCAAGAGCTGACCTTACATTTAGAGCATGTTTAGAATACCAGATACAATCCAGGGTGTGCCTGCCCTCCCCCGGGGTCCAGATCTTCCAGGTGGTATATGGGGTATCTGTCTGCCCACTAGCATGCAGCAGCTTGTAGGCACTGTTCAGGTGGAGGCTGGAGGAAGCAAAGTGTTTCTAGACCTCTTGTGTTGGTTCTGCATCGAAGTCCCCATAAACAATAAGGGGAATCTCGCCTCCTTGGGTGATGTTTTGCAGGTTCTGAAGAAGGTCAGAGCCTTGAGCTGATGGAAACCACTTCCAGCCAGTGTGTGCTTTTACATGGGTGACAGTGATACACAACTGTTGGTCTGATTCCTCGCCCTCTAGGAACTGGGCAATGGCTACCTGATTGGTTTTCAATGGGTATAAGCCTAATATTGGCACCACTGACTAGTTTAATTTGGTTTTGGAGGAAAATTAGGTACAGCCATCTAGTCCATTGTTGTATTCTATACCTAGACAAGATGACCAGGGCTTGGGGAAAAAAAATGTGCCTTGATAGCCCAGCCTACTGAGGAGTGGTTGGAGGTGTCAAAACACCGGTCTACCTCTTGGAGGCACAAAGTATCAGGCTGGTAGACTAGGATGAGATACTTCCTTTCTTCTCACTTGAGTGCTTCAACAGGGCATTGTACAAAATGCCCTGTTTTTCTGGTTGGACGACAGCTTGGATGAAGTTGTTCCACTGCGTGGCCCTAATAGGTAGGTAGTTACTGGAGCCATCTGTTCCCAGATCCACAGAATCTCTCTAGAACCAGGAAGGTTAATTATGCAGAACAGCCCTGCATTCCTCAAAAAGCTCTTTGGGATCTATGGGCTCCAAATGTTCCAGGTCAGGAAATACCACACACTCGGTGCAGGAGGCAGCACTGCTGTGCAGTGTCTTGGCGAGAGCACTGGAGTCTGCTCAGACTATTTCAGTCATACGTCGAGTCCCCATACAACCGTTCTGCTTTTCACCTTCTCTATAGTCTTCACTAAGTTACATGAGATATTCAACACTTTGTTATAAAATAGGCTTTCAGGCCGGGCACGGTGACTCAAGCCAGTAATCCCAGCACTTTGGGAGGCTGAGGCAGGTGGATCACGAGGTCAAGAAATGGAGACCATCCTGGTCAACATGGTGAAACCTCATCTCTACTAAAAATACAAAAAGTAGCTGGACATGGTGGCGCGTGCCTGTAATCCCAGCTTCTCAGCAGGCTGAGGCAGGAGAATTGTCTGAACCCAGGAGGCAGAGGTTGTGGTGAGCCAAGATCGCGCCATTGCACTCCAGCCTGGGTAACAAGAGCGAAACTCCATCTCAAAAATATAAATAAATAAAATAAAATAGGCTTTCTATGAGATGATTTTGCCCAACTATAGGCTAATGTAAGTGATCTGAGCACATTTAAGGTAGGCTAGGCTAACATGTTTGGTAGGCCAAATGTATTAAATGCATTTTTTACTTAATAATTGCAACTTTCGATGGATTTGTTGGGATGTAACCCCATCGTAAGTCAAAGAGCATCTGTACTGATTTGTTCACCTTGAGTTTAATAGTGGGGAAATACAGCTGGATGATCCTAAGAATATAGCTTCCAGGACAATTACCACACAGACTGAACCACCACCGAGAGAGGCCCCCCAAGAGCACTAGAATGACAAGCTCTACTAAGCAAATATACTGATCATTTTTCAAGCTGTAGTTATATTTAAACCAATTTGCACTGCAGTTCATTTCACAGAAATTACTTCATAGCTTCAGGAATCCCCTGTGAAATCCTAAATACCAGCACTACAAATTTAAACTTTTTATTTTTAAGCAGACGTAATAAATAATGAACTAATCACTGACCCAGCATGTCTTCACATACACCTGCATTAGACTGCTTTTGCTTAACTCACAAGCTGCCAGTTATTTTATTAAAATTCAACACAGGCTCTATTACAGGACAATAGAATTAGCTACACAATGAAGATACAGAACAGAGGATTAAAGCAGTAAAATGCCTGTTCATGTAACAGATTTAAAATGAACACCAGGAGTTAAAAAATTTTAAACTAATTGGCATGGCTCAAACAGGTAAACTGGTGAATAAACCAGCCAGTTGTGTGGAAGAAACCTTGAGGCATGAACAGCAGTATCTGGTTCCTAGGAACCTCTTACCTTAAGCCCAGTGTTTTCTTATCTATCAGTGCATTAGAATTTGACATTCCTGAAAGCCAAATAAGGGCAAACCCTTTTGCCAAGGGTTTAGTTGGAAAGAGTAAGCCAAGTCAAGGTCACACTGTTAGTGAAGTTTACAGCAGTCCCAGCACGATGCAGGTAGTCATAGGCATTCAGTGAATGCTCATTTAAGATAATGCCTCCAGCCTCATAACTAAACATAGTACCCTTTATAATCTTTTTTTTTTTTTTTTTTTTTGAGACAGAGTCTCTCTGTTGCCCAGGCTGGAGTGCAGGGGCATAATCTCAGCTCACTGCAACCTCCGCCTCCCAGGTTCAAGCAATTCTCCTGCCCAGCCTCCCAAATAGCTGGGACTACAGGCATGTGTCACCACGCCAAGCTAATTTTCTGTATTTTTAGTGGCAATGGGGTTTCACCATGTTAGCCAGAATGGTCTCCATCTCTTGGCCTTGTGATCCACCCACCTCGGCCTCCCAAAGTGCTAAAATTACAGGCATGAGCCACCGCACCCAGCCCCCTTTATTATCAATATTCATTGGCTATCATTACAGGATGCTCACTGTGCTGAGCTCAGAACTGTATGAATAGCATTTAATTCCAACAGCAATTCGTTACGTAACATTATTAACCTCATTTTACAGATACGGAAACTGAGACTTAGAAAAGCAAACTCACCAAAGTCACTTTGTATGTCAGGAGCCTGAACTTGAATTAAGAGTTTGACTCAAGAGCCTTGTTCTTAACTACAGTTGACCCTTGAACAACATGGGGTTAGGGGTGCCAAACCCTCGTGCAGCCAAAAACCTGTGTATAATTTTTTGACTCCCCCAAAATTTAACTACTAATAGCTTACTACTGACCAGAAGCATTACTGATAATATAAACAGCCGATTAACAGACTTTGTATCTTGTGTGTAGATACTACACTTTTTATGCAAACATCAGGGACAATACATATATCATATTCTTATAATAAAGTAAGCTCTCAGAAAAGAAAAGGTTATGAAAATCTGAAGGAAAATATGTTTACTATTCATTAAGTAGAAGTAGATCATCATAAAGGTTTTCATCCTCATCATCTTTGTATTAGTGGGCTAAGAAAGAGAAAAGGGAGGGTTGGTCTTGCTGTCCCAGGAGTGGCAAAAGCAGAAGAAAATCTGCATATAAGTGGACCTGTGCAGTTCAAACCTGTGTCGCCCAAGGCTCAACAGTACTACCCAATCCTGCCCACCAACTGAAGTTGGTGCATGAGCTAAAACCCACGCCACTCCAGAAAGCAGAAAGAAGTGGTCAGGAAGATCAGCAGACTTGTTTTCATAAACTCATTCTTAGTAGACTCACGAATTTCCAGTCTCAGTTTACTCATTTGGAAAAAGTTACACTACAGTCCCTCTCTCCATTGATACAGCTGCAGTAACACAACTTAGTACATGTTAAAATGTGACTCAAATATTCTGATCTCTGTATCTGTAACTACCACACATCAGGATCATGCTACTATGTTCATATCTATAATAGAACAGAAATGTAATTTGATATCACCACAGAAGTCTTCCCGCCTAGTGGTTCTCAAGGAAAGGAAAGTAACCTGGGGCTTTTCCCAATTCTGATTTGTCTTCAAGGGGCATTTGTCAGAATAAGGTGCACAAAACAATGCGATGTGTTCTACAGATGATGCTATTACACAGTCGGGCTGAGGAAATCACCTTAAGACTGTGGTCTAGAATATGTAAACTTAGGGGTTAGTATGTTCCAACTGAAATCCTTTCCCAGCTACTTACTATTAAACCTAGGCCAGCAAGCTATTTACATTCTGTAAACCAAGCAGACCACTGCTGTGCATATAAATAGGCCCTAATTATTACTTAGCAATAAACCTTGGTTGCAGAATCCCTAATTGAATTTCCTGAATGTAGCACAGTAGCCTAGTCCAGTACTGTTAATTCAAGAACTCTAACAATGAGCCCAAATCTGCTTCTGTCAACCTATCTGCGGTTATTCCATTCTTGACTTGTAAAGCGAAACATGTTCACCTCCTGTTTGACATGAACTCACTGACCCAGTCCTAATTGCATTACAAGAGTTTAAACGTTAGCCATATCACTTCCAAAAGAAAAAGCCATCTTTTCCCAATGATTAAACTACTAAAGAATAGATGGTACAAAACGGTTTGCATTTCAATAGAACTAGCTTTATTTATTTACTTATTTATTTATTTAAACAAAAGAAATCGTCGAAAAGCAAATGCAGATATGTACCAAGGGACGGACGGGACCTGGTACTTACAAAGGAGCTGCTGTGTCTTAATGGAAACAGCGTATTAGGAGAAACATAGTATTTCATGTGCTGTCTGCTTGAGTAATCAATCTGGAGATGCAAGTTAACTGAAAGAAGGTGCTCTGCCAGGCCATCAGCGTGAAAAAAAACAAAACCAAAAACCAGAGGTTGCCTCCAGATAACTATGCAGTGGCAGCATGATAACTGGCATCAACTCACGGTCTTCTCATTTTCCCCATTTTCTATAATTTTCCTCTTCTTTTCATCTGTCTTTTTCTTGAAGATGTTATTTTGGTAAAACTGAAGTTCTCTGATGCTTTCACTAATGTCATCGAGTGCCCTGTAAGCAAACATACCACACTGAGTGAACTGGCCAAAAGCAGAAGATGAAAATCATTTTAAAAGAACAACTTCTAAAAAACCACTTAAGAACAATGGGTGCTGCTATAAACGCCACTATCCAGTATCATCAAAAGTAGAACATTTCAGTAAGGCAATTTTCTTCAGATGTTTTGTTTTTTAAAAACTTTTGACAAAAAAAAAAAAAATTGCAGAATATGAAAGATTAAAGCTTCCCAAATTGTTCCAAAAGATGGTGACATGTTCCACAGGGAGAAAAAACCAATTCCAGGGTCAAATAAGTTTTGGAAAAACTAGATTAAACTTTTTACTCAAATTCTTTGCAAAGCATTTAATATACTAATATGTATTATAAATACCCAAAAGGAAGCTGTACTATACACACAGTATTTCCAAAACTTAATCTCTCACATTTGCAGAGTACTTATAAATGGCTCATGGAACACAGTTTGAGAAACACTGCACAATACTTAATGATGCCCCTGAACAGAACAGACTGACATATTTGAACATAACTCATGATTCAGCCATCATAATAAACATCAATCATCAAACAGTACCTAACCATACAAGAGGATCTACCTCCTCCCTCGTGGTGAATTGTGCTATTATCAGTGGCAGCCTGCCTCCAGCTAAGAGCCTTTCTTCTCTTCCAACATGTTGTTTCTCATCTGTTGTAGTCTGAGAAATCAGGTAACCAAGATTATTAGAACAGTGTGCAAGTAAATCAATAAGCTCTGAATGATGGGCCAAGGGCGTCTTCTAGAGAATAGTCTGCACAAATTTTAGTGAAAAAGTTTTATGACAGTTATTTGTGTGGCTAAGGCAACAATCTGCTTTCTTCCCAGGTCTTGGATCAGAGCTGAAGCTGCCAAAATTATAGCCTCTGGCTAAATAAAAGCACACAATTTCCTAACCACAAAACTGAAATCCAAAACATACCTAAAAACCCATAGGATAATCTATTATGTAGCAAAACCTGAGCCATCTTAACGTAAGGCTACTGACAGTCATCATCAGTTATGCCATTTGGTGTGAGTATACATGTGTTTCACTGCAGAAATATCTACACGTTTATGATGGGCTGCTTCTCAAACCTTGTTACGGATGCTATAAGATAATAAACCATACAGACGTAGTATTACCTTTCTAAAATCTGAAAAATTCTGAAATCCAAAACATACCCCAGTTATTTCACATAAGGTATTCTAGGCCTTGTACGGCTGTGCTACAGTCTATATACGCCCAATAAAATAACACGAGAATGCCAGACTCTTCAGGGATTGGTCTTCCTCTGTTTGCCTAGAACTGTACCAGGCACATCACAGGGGCTCAACAGATGGTCTAACAAATGCCACCCTTAGAAGCCAGCTGCTAACCTTCCACTGGGTTTCATGTTTCTCCTGAGAGATTGCAAATCAAAAAGAAGAGAACCAGTATAGGACACATGAACATACAAGATCTTTAAATTCCTTGTCTACTTGTACCTAAGGCTCCAGATATAAAAGAAACAATCAGAAAGACTATAACAAGTGTCAAAAGTAGACAACTATATTATACAATTGTACACAAAGTGTTCTCATTTCAAATGGCTGCAAGTCCGTATTTTCTGTGGGAAGAAAAGATTACAGATTGTTTCATCATACCTATAAACCAGGTTATCTAAGAGTTTTAAAACAGCAGTAAAAGCTATACAACCCTCTCAGAATGGAACACTGGAATCCTACCAGAATTCCTAACTAAAAGAATGTTATCGTTATGGTAGTCAAACTTTATCTTTTCCCCGAGGAAAAAGAGTTAAGGGATATTATTTCAAGCAGTCAGGAATTTGGAAGTGAAGTGTGTGTCAGACTGGAAAGCACTTGGGAGAACTCAAACTTACCTATGAGAAGCAGCCTTCTTTGGTGCAAATTCATACTCTTCTGGATACCAGCGTCTATACACAGCAGAAATGGAACTCTCAAAGGAAGCTGTCTCAAATACAGTGAACAATCACCTCCTTCAAGTAATCCGTTAACATTGAAAATGGCAACTGAGTCATGATTCTCAAATTGCCTCTTTGCCAGGGCCTCTATCTTCCACCCTCTCCTCTCTTTCTTCTATAAATTTTCTGTAAGCGGCTCATTAGTGTATAAGATTGCTAAATATGAAAATCCAGCCCAACCCTCCCTTGAGTTTCTGTCATGGATATGCAACTACCTGCTAGACATCTCCATCTAATAATCTACCAGACACTTCCAATTCAACATATGTCAAACCACACCCATCATCCTCAGCACCTCCCACGCCCTATTCACCATATCTACTCTTCCTCTTCTCTTCTCCTTTTTATTTGAACAGTGCCATCATCCACCAAAGCTGCCCAGACTAGAAACATCAGAATCACATTATACCTCTTCCTCTTTCACACTACCTCATTCGAGGGTTGAATGTCTGTCAAATGACCCTCCCACATTTTTATCTCCATGCCACTCCCTTCCACACCCTGCCCTTTCTCCAGTTCATTCTTCTCTCCAAGATGGCAGAAAAGGCTCCTTTCTATCTAACACTTCTATCTAACACATTCATATCAAGATCATTCTGATTCTTGATATGAATCAAAGTGATGGAATCATATCACTCACTCTTCTACCTACACTTTCTCAAAGGAACCCCATTCCTTGCAAGATCACAGTGAATTTCACTGGCATGGCATACAAGCCCCTGAGGCTTTACAACCACCTCCCACCTTCTCCAACCCCATGCTTTGCACCCCAGCACTAATAAATGGTTTGTGATTCCTTGAACACATCTTGCCTTAGCTTCCTGCTCCCTCACATTCTTCTACTTCTGAATGCTCTCTCCTCAATAAAATGCCTGGGAAACTTTCATTCTTCTTCAAATCTCAAGTTAAAAGCTGTTTCCTTCCTATGAAAAGGTTTCTCTGACTCCCATTCCTCCTGCTCCAGCACAGGTAGGTGCTACTGCCCTTGTAACCTCAATAGTATATATGCACATTTTCACTATAGCAGTCATCATAGAGTATATTTTTAGGGTATGTTTTTTACACATATGTTGATCCACTACATTCTAAGGTATTTGAGAGCTTTTCATCTAATGTTCCCAGTAGATAAGCCAATGCCTGGCACAAACTAAGTGCTCAATAAATATTGAGGATTCATTAATATTATATGGAAGACTTCTGACAGTGTTTCTCCCAATTCTCACCAGTCCAGGATAAGTTACGGTCCTATACAAGCAAGAATCGGATGAGGAAGATATAAACCCACCTGGCACCCTTAGTTCTATAGCTCTGTCCAATTACTTTCCACACATTCTCAATTAAAACATGCTAAACGAGGTAATTTAACGGACCCTAAATATAGCCCTTACCTGCACAGTTCTTTAACAGTGCTCACATCAATTATTCTATAATGAAGATGTTTCATGAACTGGGGCATGTATTTGTCAAGAAACTTCTTATCTGCATGAACTGAATTTCCTAGAAAGACATGAAGCATACTGCATCTCTGTATTTCTAGTAGTATACAACAGGATATCAAAATTCATAAAATGTATTTGAAATGGTGATGATTTTTTAAAATTCAAACAATTCCTAAAAGCACCTCTATATTTCTAAGTCTGGTTTGGGCATATGTGATTAGTTTACAAATACAGATTTCCAAGTCAGTTTAGCTTATTAGAAATTTTTTAATGACCTCTCATGAACAGAAGGACAAATCTATCATTCCACGTTTGACATAATGCACAAATCTATTTGTTACTTTTTAAGATCATACTAGATAAGCAGACTTCCTCCCAGTGTCACAGAATTCACACCACTTAACACTAAAAATTTAACTGAATCACATAGGTAGATAAACCTTTATTTACAATCCAAATTTTTAAACAAATCATGTGCACATTCATATTTCCAAAAACTTATATGAAAAATACTAAATTTTAAATGAGACCTTTAAAACAGATATCAGCCACATTGGCTGGGAGACATTTACACAATATATGCTCTAGTACTTAATGCCAAAACGTAATTTTATAAATGTTTAAGAAGAGTGTTAGTTACCACATCAGCTTTCATACACAAAGGCGCATACACCTTCAGAGAACATGAACTTCCCTCTGGCAATGTCACCCCTTTAAAAATTCTGATAAACAGGCCTGGTCTCTTTAGAAAGTCAGTATCACAGGGGAAAAAACAATAGTTGGAAAGTTTTACATTAAGAGAATAAAGAGATATAACCAAATGAAATGCATGAGCCTTGACTGGTTGAAAAACAATCCAATATTTTGAAACATCTAATGTGGACTAGATATCATATGATACTATTAGTTTAATTCTCTTCAATGCAATGACATTTTATTACATAAGAAAATGTCTTTATTCTCAGGAGATGTCTGATGAAGTGTTTAGGAATGAAGTGTCATGATGCCTGCAATTTACTCAAAATGTCCAACAAAAAATAAGAAAAACAAACATGCCACAGGTTAACAATTTCTAAATTGGCCAGCCACGGTGGGTCACGCCTGTAATCCCTGCACTTTGGGAGGCCGAGGCAGGCAGATCACCTGAGTTCAGGAGTTCGAGACCAGCCTGGCTAATAGAGTGAAACCCTGTTTCTACTAAAAATACAAAAAAAAATTAGCTGGGCATGGTGGCCCACATATGTAATCCCAGTTACTTGGGAGGCTGAGGCAGGAGAATCACTTGAACCCAGAAAGCGGAGGTTCCACTGAGCCAAGATGATGCCATTGCACTCCAGCTTGGGCAACAAGAGTGAAACTCTGTCTCAAAAAAAAAAAAAAAATTACTAAATCCACTTCTCTGTGCATGTGAAATTTTTCCATAATAAAAATATGGGGAAATGTTTATTGAGTAAGTTTGTGTTTCCCAGATCTCATCAGGTTTCAGGGCATTTTCCCAATATTCGTGCTATAAACTATACAAAGAAACTGGAACAGAAAAGTAAGATGTGTAAGCCAAAGCAGGGTAAGTGGAAGACATGGATGGTCTCAGCTGGTCTTTCCGGAACTGCAGTCTCTCGAACCACTACATATGGAAGATTATAAGATACACACAGGATTGGATTTTACCTGCAAGTGGACAGAGCCCCGGAGGAGTCTGCTGTCGTACAAAGGACAGAAATTCATACTCTGCCTGCTGCAATGTAATTGTACTCTCCTTCACTGCCTTGGTAAGACCAGACTGCAAGAGAGAATCCCCAGCCCCCCACCAGAAACACATGTGAAGTCAGTTTTCAAAGGCATCCAGAAATGAAACTTCACTTTAAAAATGGGCAAATATAACCACAAATAGACCAGTTTTAGAGCTCAAGTTCAAATTGAAACTGCCATCTTTGCACCAATTTTTTCTTAAAGAATCCAAGCCAAATAAGTTACGATCCTGATTGTTAATAGCGTTTCCACAGTCAAATAAGATGGTGTTCAAAGTCCAAGGATATTAACCTCTGGGAAGAAACAACTATTAACAGGAGAGTAGCAATCCCCCTTCTCTGAAAGTTGATGTCTAACCTTATCCAAAAGACTGACTTGAGTAATACTTGACAATCCACAATGCGTTCGCGACAGACTGAATGTAGGAGAGAGAAAAAGAGGACATTCAGGAGAAGATGATCTCGAGAGGTCCCAAAGATGAAAAGTAAGCAAGCAAGCAGTTTCCCAGGCTTGCCAAGCAATCTTCTCTAACCCTTTTTAAAATACCATCCAACAATGGTATCAGATTCAGATGTGGGAGCAACAAGCTTGTTACTGATCCCCAAAGCAGCAATCCTGTTATTTGGTTATGTTACCTTCCCGTGATGCTCCTTACACCAATCTGACATGCTGTCCAGCAACTCATCTGGTTGTTTTATAATCAGGTTAGGACCCTGCGGAGGGGAAACGCCATTAGTCACCAAGAACCAACAGGAATAACCTTACTTTCAAAGAAAAAGCTTAAGCTGTTTTAAGGACTAAATATACATGTCAGAGAAAGTAAGAGGGAAGGATACTTTAAAAGCGTTCCTCCTTCATTCCAGCACTGTTTATTCATTAAGGCAAAATACAACACACACACACACACATACACACACACACACACACACACAAACACACACACGGCTAAAAACTCAAATGCCTATAAATAGATGACACAGATATCTATCAAGGGCCAGCAAACTATGGCCCCACGCTTCTGTACTCAAAGCCTAAACTATTTAATATTTTACCCTTTCCAGAAAAGTCAGTCAACCCTTGATTACGAGTTCATTTTGAAAAGTGTATAAGCCAGGCATGGTAATCCCAGCTTTCTGGGAGGCCAAGGTGGGAGGATTACTTGAGGTCAGGAGTTCAAGACCAGTCCAGGCAACACAGCAAGACCTCAATTCTACAAAAATAAAAATAAAAATAAAAAAAATAAGCCAGCCATGGTGGCACACATGGAGGCTGAGTCAGGAAGATCACCTGATCCCAAAAGTCTGAAGTTACAGTGAGCTATGATCATGCCACTGCACTCCAGCCTGGTTAACAGGGTGAGACCCTACCTCTTAAAAAAAAAAAAAAAAAAGTATATTGTCAAGTAAAACAGCAATTGCAAAACCATATATGCATACATATGATTTCATCTACACCTGTTTTTAAAACAATGCACTTATATATGCATACAAAATATCAAAACAATACATAAACTTGGAGTAAGATGGAGCAAGAGAATAGGACAAAAATCCAATACATAAACTTTGGATAGTTACACTGTTTAACAGTATTTTTATATTTAAAAAAAATTTTTAAAGAGGTAATTGGTGACATCTGAAACACACACACACACACACACACACACACACACAGTGGCCCTCAAATTCCCAGCTCCATTTCACAGAACATCCACGTGTGAGTCTCTCAGATACAGTCCCGGCAGTAACAGGAGCTGCAGCATTAAAGCAAGTCACCTTAGCTTCTCCCTAAGATAGTGACGATAATAAACTGTACCCTTTCCCTCATAGGAATGTTAACAGGATAAAAGAAATTATAATATAAGCTCTTTGAAATCTCTGGTAGAAAAGTACTCTATAAATCAAAGGTATTATTACTACTAAGGTAGAAAAAAACCGTTCACGATCACTGAAAGGAATGGCTAGAATCTAATTAAAATATGCCTGGACAGCCCCCAACTGAAAAGGAGGTTTAGCCAAACAAGAAAACTGGTGTTGGCAATCTCTGCAGGGAAACAAAACATTCTGCTTGAATAACACATGATGTTTTACAATAGTCACGAAGGAAAAAGAAAACCCAAACACACGAAAATGATAAAAAAAAAAAAAAAAACTAACAATGCTGGAAAAATCAAACTACGACAAATCTAATGCTAGATACCTATTCTATGTCCCAGTTTAGCAAGCCAAGAGACCACACCTACAGAAAACGTTCAGAGTAGGATGCCTGTTCTTCTACGAGCATAAAACATTTTTCTCAGACTCTTATAAAAGAATAAAACATACTACAGAACTGACAGCCGCTAAGCTTTAAAAATATAAATAAATAAATAACACCTTATCCTCATCTAACTTAGTCCATTTACAAATGCAGCATACACCTGCAGCTGTGTGAATACATACCCAAATTTCCTCCGGGGTAAGGATCGACCTACCGGTCCATTAAACTGTCAGTATTTCACATTATATCAACAGTCTAAAGGAAACACTCTTCTTCGGCCAAGGGTAAGTTAGGCTGGTAAAATAAAGACACTTCACTATTCATCTCCAGTAAATCCCAAGTAACAGGAAAAATAAACAACCAAATCTAAAACTCAGGGCTTTATACAAAGTCTAAAAAAAAGTTGTTACCATGAGAAATACTCATGATTCTCCTACAGCTGATGTGTAGGTAGGATAAGCCTGGTATGATACACCACAAACGCAGTCATTCATCAATAAAAACGTCCTCACCTCTTTTATCTACATGGCAAAACAAATGAAAGCCTTAACTGCAGATTTACAAAATCTATGCAGTGCCAGTAACGTATCAATGCTACCCTCTGGGAACTTATTTCAACAAGACTCTCTTTTCCACAAACATCCCTACTTTGTTCCTATTCTGGAGTTTCATAATGGCTCTGAATACTGCTGACAGTATAAAACAGAATTATTCAGGTTCAGGGATTTCACCCCCTACCAGATGGTGTCACATCCTTATTAAATGTTTCATGAGTGGTTAAAATGCAGCAGGTGTGTTTTATTTGTTTTGCTAAATGTTTCAGATGAAAGTAGCATGCAAAAACCTTAATCACGTCAATCTGTCAACAAGAGAACACTTTATGGGTGTGCACTAACAGAAATTCTAAAATTTTTTTCTTTTTTTTTTCTTGAGATGGAGTCTCACTCTGTCACCCAGGCTACAGTGGCAGGATCTTGGCTCACTGCAACCTCTGTCTCCTGGGTTCAAGCAATTCTCCTGCCTCAGCCTTCCGAGGAGCTGGGATTACAGGTAAGCACCACCACACCCGGATAATTTTTTTTTTTTCGTATTTTTAGTAGAAACGGGGTTTCACCCTGTTGGTCAGGCTGGTCTCGAATTCCTGACCACCGGCCTCGGCCTCCCAAAGTGCTGAGATTACAGGCGTGAACCACCGTGCAGGGCCTAAAACTTAATGTAGATCTAGAAGCATCACATGTCCAAGTTGAAAAGGCAGAATTGGATATATGGAGTCAAGTTCAAGTCACGGTTATGATATAAAGACGCAAACATTGGCATGAGTCACCAAATCTGATGCGAGGACAGTTGGCTGTCTTCCTGGTTAGAGCACCTCACAGAGAATGCCTGAGTTAAACTATTGGCTCCCTCAATAAATAGCCACTGGGGCCTCAGACAAATTACCCAACATCTCTATGCTCAAATGTCCTCATCTATCAAATGAGCATTATAACAATACCTAACTTACAGTTACTGTAAGAACTAAGAACAAAGACATATAAAGCACTTAGAAACTGTACCTGGCATACAGTAAGCTCTCAGTAAATGACAGAGTTTATGTTTCTGTAAAGTTCTGGCATGGTTAATTAAAAAAATTTTTAATTAATTTTTCACTAGACTGTGAGATGGATGATTTTGGTTCTAGTGCCACCCCTGCCAAGACCTAGCCCATTACCTTAATGTATATGGACCTCGACTTTCTTATTTTTTAAATAAAGAAGCTGGAAAAAATGATGGTTAGATTTCCAGTGCCCTTTAAAAAGTATGACTGTATTACATGGCATCACCTACTTCAGCCAAAATGTTGAGATCAGAGTCAGTTATCAGACAGGCCATCTCAATAATCTGGTCCTTCTCAATGTCCAATCCTGTCATCTGCAATTAAAAATAAATATGTAACACACACAAAACCATCATCCTGGCCTCTTTTACCCAAGTTTATTTAACTCGAATTCCCTCAAACATTTTCAGCTTGCAACCCAAAGCCAAAACAGAAAAGAGTGTTCCTCGGGCAACTACTGCAGGTAGTAAACACAAGTCCTCGTTGATTCAACAAACATCTACCAAGGGCCTGCTATTTGTCAAGCGCTGAGATTCTTCAACTCCCACACAGATGCAAAGTAAGTAAAACTGAATGCTTACATCACTCAGTTTTGGAAGAGTTAGATAACTATCCCCCACATCTCTGCAGAGTTTACAAAGTTTTCACATTCATTACACCACTTGATCTTCACAATCTAATGGAAAACCTACTGTTATTATCCTCACTTCATACTGGAGAAAATTGAGGCTCAGCGTAGGGAGGAGCCCTTGGTTCGGGCATGGAAAGCCTGAAAAGATAGGAACCGGATTCTGGTCCCAACCCAAACTCTCACTAACAGCACGACCTTGAATGAGTTTAATCCTCTCTGTGGGCCTTCATGTTCTCGCTTATGGAATGAGGGGTAAGGCTGAGTCATCTCCGCCGTCCCGTCTGGCTCTAACAACCAAGGGTCCTTTAAGGATTTAGTAGGGGGAGGCTGGGAACGAGCCGCTGCTCCCGCCCCCACTCCAGTGACCCAACCCCAGAGACGCCAGAGCGTTAGGAAAGTCCACATCTGGGAGGAGGGGTAGGAAGGAGAGGGAGCCACACGGACGACTCCTCCCTTGCGGAAAGAAGCCCCACAGCCCAGCACGGCGCCCAACACCCGCAGGACTCCTGCCTCCTCACTTGCCCGGCGTCGCCCCGGGCCGGCCAGGCTCACCTGCCACGCCTGACACCCAGACCCCTCCGCTCTCCCAGGACCGGCTCGGCTCCTCAGTCCCACGCGCGAAACCTCACTCGCCTTCCCAAACCCCCGCCGACCCACTCACCTCCAAGTCCACCCAGACCATCCGCTGAGCCATGCTCTCCCCTGCAGCCATGGCTTCGCCACCTTCGCGGACACCTCGCGCCCCGAACCGTCCGCGACTCCCACCTACAGCCCGCAACAGCCTGGAGCCCAGGGAGCCGCCTAGCATCACTCGGCACCAGCAGCCACAGCCCCAGCCCCAGCCCCAGCCCCAGCCTCGCAGCCGGCGCTAGCGCAGGCGCAATAGTCGCTAAACGTCGCAAACCCACGGGGAGGCGCACTAGCTGAAACCACAGGTCCCAGCATGCGGTGCGCCAGCTAGCCCTCAACAGCCCGGCTTGGCTGCCTAAGGGAATGATGGGGCTTAGAGTCTCACCTGCGATTGCGACCGGATGCCCCACCCCCGCCACGTGTTTTTCGGGTGTTACTGGACGCGCCTGTTTTTCACTGCTAAGTTTGTTTGCCTCCAGGAGTTATTTCCTGAGTTTTTGGTTAGCTGTAACCGTGCAGTGAAAAAAGAACTCTTACTTTGGTTGGCTGAAAAAGTTCTGATTATCTAAGTATGATACTTTTTGCATGTATCCCTTTCCTTCTTTGCTTTTCTTTTTCTTTTTTACTTACCTGCCCCTCTATTCCACAAACTGGATATTTTCCTCATTTGTTTGGGACTAAGAAGCAGTGGATTTTGGGGACCAGAAGGCCATTTCCATTATCATCAAATCATTTAGAAATATTTAAATGAGATATTGTCTGGGAAATCATTTAGCACGTAGTAGGCGTACGAAGTTAGTTACTTTCCTTCATTTTGTTATGGGAAAGGGATCTTGATCCAGACCCAAAGAGAGGGTTCTTGGATCTCCTGCAGGAAAGAATTCAGGGCGAGTCCATAAAGGGAAAGCAAGTTTATTAAGTAAGAAATAAAAGAATGGCTACTCCATAGGCAGAGCGAGGGCATGGGCAACTGAGTATACCTACAGTTATTTCTTGGTTATATGCTAAACAGGGGGTAGATTATTCCTAAGTTCTCCGGGAAAGAGATGGACTATTCTGGGAACTAAGGGTTCCCCCGCTTTTAGATCATATACGGTAATTCCCTAAAGTTGCCGTGGCATCTGTAAACTGTGATGGCGCCGGTGGGAGTTTCTTGTAGCGTGCTAATGTATTATAATTCGTGTATAATGAGTAGTGAGGATGACTAGATGACTTTGTCATCTTGGTTTTGGTGGGTTTTGGCCAGCTTCTTTACAGCCTCCTGTCAGCAAGGTCTTTGTGACCTGTATCTTGTGCTGACCTCCTATCTCTTTCTGTGACTTAGAATACCTATCCTCCTGGGAATGCAGCCCAGTAGGTCTCAGCCTTATTTTACCCAGCCCCTATTCAAGATAGGATCACTCTTCAAACGCCTCTGCCAATTTGACCAAGGGTTATCCCTTATTCCTTATGAAAGGCGGCATTTCAGTTCAGCTATTAGGTGTTTGCGTGATGACGACTTGCTACTCTGTTCTTAAAAATTCTCAAAGTTTAATCTCGTCCTCCCATAACAAATCTATGCAGCAAATTAACTTGAAATGGACTAAAACAGTTCTGGCTGCTCTGTCATCTTCTTTGGCTTTGATCCAGGTGTCTTTAATCTCCTGCAATGACAGCTATAGTGTCTGTCATTTCTAGGAGTCCAAGTGGCCAGCATCAGGATCTTGAGGCCATGGAGTGTCAAATTTCCTGAGGCTCTTCAATCTTGGCTATTCAGTAACAAATTTGTGACAGAGTGCCACTTTGTTACAAATGTTGATCTCGGCTTTGAATTATAACATTTATGTATTTTTCTGAAAACCATATTGCTACTAATTACAGAGCTTGTGGTCTATCCTACCCCGTGAGCTGGTTTTATGAGAAACTTTGTTGCCTAATTGGAACTTTAAGGATAGTGTAGGGTGCTGGATTTCACCTTCTACTGCTTTTGTGTACGCAACCTACCACCTGGAAGGGCTCAGAGAAACTCTTTGAAGGGTTATCAAAAGGTATGCACAGATTATACACATAAAGACTTACTGTGGCATATACATTTTAACTGCATTGCCTGATGTCGTATTGTTTTGCTATAGCTTTTTACTCATTTGTAGCCTACTTTTAAAAAAAAAAACGTTCTGCATTTCTTCTTTAGTTTTGTCTTAGCTTTAAACTTGATTCACAGAAATTAGAGTCAGTTGAGGCTGGGTGCAGTGGCTTACACTGTAATCCCAGCACTTTAGAAGGCTGAAGCTGTAACCCCAGCATTTTGGGAGAACAAAGCAAGCAGTTCACTAGGTCAGGAGTTTGAGACCAACCTGGCCAACATAGTGAAACCCTGTCTCTACTGAAAATACAAAAATTTGCCAGGCATGGTGGCACGCACCTGTAGTCCCAGCTACTCGGAACGCTGAGAAAGAACTGCTTGAACCAGAGGGGCAGAGGTTGCAGTGAACCAAGATTGTGCCACTGTACTCCAGCCTGGGCAACAAGCAAGACTCCATCTCCAAAAAAAAAAAAGAAAGTAGAGTCAGTTGAAGTACAGAAAACTTTATTAATTGAGTTTTTCATTATCTTCTTAAAGTATTATGTATTTAAAATTTTAACACCATTTGTTTTTAACTTTACTACTGGAATAATGTTTCTAACAGGACATGGCCAAGAACACACAAACCCTGCCCTTTTTTGAGAGAGCACTACTTCTTTTTTACATATTTTTTAATTTTTATTTTTTAAATTGTAATAAAATATGGATAATATAAAATTTTACAATTTTAGCCATTTTCCATATGAGGTCAGGGTCCCCAACCCCCAGGCTGCAGATCAGTACAGAACGGTACCAGTCTGTGGCCTGTTGAGACCAGAGCTGCTCTGCCAGAGGTGAGGGGTGGGTGAGAAGCATCAGCACCTGAGCCCTGCCTCCAGTTAGATCAGCAGTGGCATTAGATTCTCACAGGAGCACAAACCTGTTATGAACTGCACATGCGAGACATCTAAGTTGCATGCTCCTTATGAGAATCTAACTAATGCTTGATGATCTGAGGTGGAAGAGTTTCATCCCGAAACCATTACTCCCCTATCCCCATCCATGGAATAATTGTCTTCCATGAAACCAGTCCCTGGTGCCAAAAAGGTTAGAGACCACTGGTATAAAGCATAGTGGCCCCTCCCATGACAGCATGGGAGTTCCTTCTCTCTCTCTCTCCCTACTCCTCTTTCTCTCTCTCTCTCTCTCTCTCTCCCTATTCCTCTTTCTCTCTCTCTCTCTGCCTAATAAATCGCTTTTCTGCAAAAAATAAAAATAATAATAAAGCATGGTGGCATTCAATACATTCACACTGTTGTGTGATCATCAGAACGTTTATCTCCAGAACGTTTCCATCTTCCCAACCAAAACTCCATCCCATTAAACACTAACCCCCATCTCTACCCATCCACTGTTCCCAGCCCCTAGTAGCCACTCTTCTACTTTCTGTCTCTGTGAATTTGACTACTCTAAGTACCTCTTGTAAGTAGACTTTTGCAATATTTGTTTTTTCCTATCTGGCTTACTGCACTTACCATGGTCTCCTCATCCATATTGTAGCATGTGTCAGAATGTTCTTCCTTTTTCTAGCTGAATAATATTTCACTGTATGTATGTACCACATTTTGTATCCATTCATCCATCCATGGACACGTGTGTTGCTTATACCCTGTGGCTATTGTAAATATTTACCTGATTTTTAATTTTAACTTTTATATTTTATTTTTTATTTTTGAGACAGGGTCTGACTTTGTCACCCAGGCTGGAGGCTGGAGTACAGTGGCATGATTACAGCTCACTGCAACCTCCATCTCCTGGGCTCAAGTGATCCTCCTGCGTCAGCCTCCCAAGAAGCTGGGACTATAAGCACTCATCACCACGATGGGCTAATTTTTATATTTTTTTAGAGATTAGGTTTTACCCTGTTGTCCTGGTGGTCTCAAACTCCTGGGCTCAAGCAATCTACCTACCTCAGCCTCCCAAAGTTCTGGGATTACAGGCAGCAGCAGCTGCACCCGGCCCTAATTTTATTTTTTATTGCTCCCATCTTACCAGTGACTTTCCCAGCCCAGTTTTGTTCTTTCCACATTCTGAACAAAGATCACTGTGATAATCAGTCCACAAGTGACCCCTCCCCCAACTTCCTTGGTCCCTTGTTAGAATTATCCCAAACTATATCTTTAAAAGTCGTTCTCAGCCAGGCGTTGGTGGCTCATACTTGTAGTCCCAGAATTTTGGAAGGCTGAGGTGGGAGGTTCACTTGAGGCCAGGAGTTTGAGACCAACCTGAGCAACAAAGCAAGATCCTATCTCTAAAATAAATAAATTAATTAAAAAATTAAAAAATTAGCCAGGTGATACAGTTTGGATCTGTGTCCCCACCCAAATCTCATGTTGAATTATAATCCTCAGCATTGGAGGTGGTACCTGGTGGCAGGTGATTGGATAGTGGGGGTGGACTTCTCATTAAGAGTTTACTACCATCCCCCTGGTGCTGTCCTCATGATGGTGAGTGACTTCTCACAAGATCTGCCTGTTTAAAACTATGGCACTTGGCTATCTCTCTTTTGCTCCTGCCCTGGCCATGTGATATACCACTGTCCCCTCTGCCTTCTGCCATGACTTTAAGCTCCCTGAGGCCTCCCCAGAAGCAGATGCCATCATGCTTCCTGTACAGCCTGCAGAACCATGAGCCAATGAAACCTACTTTCTTTATGAATTTCCCAGTCTCAGGTAATTCTTTATAGCAGTGTACAAATGGCTTAATACAAAAAATGGGTACCAAGAGTTAGCCACTGCTATAAAGACACCTGAAAATGTGGAAGCAGCTATGGAACTGGGTAACAGGCAAAGGATGAAAGAGTATGGAGGGCCCCAAAAAGACAGGAAGATCAGGGAAAGTTTGGAACTTCTTAGAGAATGGTTAAATTGCTGTGACCAAATGCTGATAGTGTTGTGGACAGTGAAGGCCAGACTGAGGAAATCTCAGATGGAAATTTGAAACTTATTGAGAAATGGAGCAATGGTCATGCATCTTATGCCTCAGCAAAGAGCTTAGCTGGATTGTGTCCATACCCTAGGGATATGTGGAAGTTTGAACTTGAGAGTGATAACCTAGAGTTATCTAGTGGAAGAAATTTCTAAGCAGCAAAGTGTTCAAGAGGTGACGTGGCTGCTTCTAACAACCTATGCTCAGATGTGGGAGCAAAGTAATAAGTCGAAACTTACATTTAAAAGGGAAACAGAACATAAAAGTCAGGACAATTTGCAGCCTGGCCATGTGGTAGAAAAGAA